AATTAGCAACATTATTGTTTTTATATGCCTCAGACAGTCCTACCTTGTTTCAGATAAACAGCTGTGTGTTAGAGTTGTAAATTACAGAAACAGTCTTTTCCTGACTCCAGCAAACATGTCTGGATGTTTCTTTAATGTCAGCATGTTCCAGAGGCGTGTTGCGACAGAACAGGTATGAAAGTTAGTGCGTTTCTGACATGCTGTGTGCAGGGCACTAAGGAACACGTCTAGACTGCCAGCTCCTCTGGGCCACTTCACTTTCTCCTTCCCAAGGTAAAGGTCTGCCACGCAGACCACGAAATTAATAGAAAAACAAATAATTAATTGTTGGCCACTAACTTTATCTGCTAAGGTTTTAAAGTTTCATGTCTTGAGTTGAGTCTGCCATAAGGGCTGAGGGACTCACCTGGTGCTGTGCCTTTGTGAAGAGAAATACTAATGTTACGTGGAGAGTTGTTTTTCAAGCGCTCCTAATTTTTGACGGAAGGCAAACTTCAAATTGGCCACAGCCTGTTAATATTAAAGTGCTGAGCAGTGGGAGGTGATGAGGCATCACAGTGTTGGCTTCAGCTGTCGGATACCAAATCGGTGGCTGTCTGCATCCACCCTGACTGCAGTCTCAGACTTCTGTCTGTTGGCACAAGACCTCAAACAGAGGATTTAAATAGGAGTTGAAGGGGTAAGTAAGCCTGAAGGGGGAGTATGTCAAATCTGGAATTAATCTGTGGGTCGGTCCTGTTTCTACATTCCAGTGAAGATGGAATTAATGGAAAAAAAATGGATTCTTACTGAAAAAGGTAGAGATACAGACTGGGAAAACTGGCCCATCAGATGTATAAGGATACAAGCAAATTTGATAACTTTTGGGCTCAATATTTGTATTCAACCTACCTGGCTTTTTTCCAATTTCTCTTTCAAAAGAAAGAGCAACAGAGCATCTGATGCTTAAGAACTGGTGTTTTTTGGTAACTGCCCGTCACCATGTGTTTATACTACATCTGTGGAAGGGATAGATGATGATAGTGGGTTGGCTACTACAGAAACCTCTCTGTGTAAATTCAAACTCTAAGCCATTACGGTGGGTTTTTGTTGTTTTTTTTTTGTGAAGAGCTTCTGAACTGAGTAATTACCTGTCAAGAGTTTTGTGTAGATATAGTAGACTTTTGTTATGCTTACTTTAAATAAAATAAAAATAGTTGTCTCTATCACCTTGAAGATGCAGTCAGGGTTATTGGAAGTGTTGGATGAAGTGCTTTTTTCACCTATAGCTCTTTGGGCCTGTATAATGTTACTGGACTTACCTTGGACATTACTTACCGTCCTACTTCCCGGAGGTGTGACTGCTTGGTCTGCTGTCAGGAAATGATTCACTTGGCATAGGACACAACAGAGAGAACTGGGAGCAAACCCACTGTCATCAGGAGTTAACTGTGCTGCCCCATTTGCATCGTGTCTCTGGTTTAGAGCTATTAAGACAATTGTTCTAGATGGGAGTCTTGAATCAAGACTGGAGCTCCTCAAAAAGTTTTGCAGGAGAACTTCTCAGATGGTGTTAGTTACCTTCTGTTTGCGTTCGAGTTCTTGGGCTGCCTGATTGGAAAGGCTAAGGGGAAAAATACCTGTGCGTTTGCCCGAGAACCAAGAACGTAGAAGAACAGTATCTACAATTCATTTGGATGCTTCTTTTCCCCTGGGTCCTCCAATTGGGTACGGATGTTTTCTTAAGCTTTGGGAAGACTGATGTGTTATGGTAGCCTTACACTGGAAAAATGCTCAGTAAATTCACTTGTTTGCTTACTGTCTAATGGGATGCCTAGCCAGGGAAAGGAGGCTGTGAGTGTCAGCAGTAATGAAGGTGAACCTTTGCCAGTCGTGTTACAACCACCTTGGTGTCATCTTCTTGTCATCTAAGTTCTGTGAACAGAAAAAAGCTGAGTTTCCATTTAGCTTCCAAAAAAAACCCTTTCAGGAAAGGCTTTTGACAGAGCATGAGATCCAGGAATTGATTTTTTTGACCCTTGCAGACTGTGTATGGTCTCACTCGGCGTCTGAAAACAAGTGCGTTCTAGGAACTTGAGTTTTTCAGAAGACTACCTTAACGTCTGATCCGTTGAAGCTGGGGGTGTTTAATTTTTTCAGATGCGCTGCAATAGGTGTGTCCGGTCTCTTTGTAATGATACGCCAAACGACTGTGTTGGTGTGTTGTGAGTGTGCTTGGAAGCAGCAGGATGCTGAATTCCGTGCAGTGTGGTAGTAAGATATGTTTGAAGGAAGATAAGCAGGCTCCCTTGAATCGTTGGTGTGTTGTGAGTGCGCTCGAAAGCAGCAGGATGCTGAATTCCGTACAGTGTGGTGGTAAGATATGTTTGCAGGAAGATAAGCAGGCTCCCTTGAATTCAGAGTCAGCATAACTCTAACAGAGATTAATGCTCCAGGCTTTAAAATGCCTTTTAGCTCATTTATGCTGATAAGCAGTAATAAAATGTTAGCGTGTTTTTCATTGATGAAGAGCAGTTGGATTTCACTTGGAACTACAGAGGAGTTACTAGCACAACAATACTTTCATAAACAAAATGGCTAAAGAATTCTGGTTGCTGTAGCTTTTAAGTTGAGTAGGAATTCTGTCCCGCATTTTTTTTGTACACCCAGCTAAGGGAGTGCGTACGAGAGAAACTCTGCGTCCGAAGTAGGATTTCAAAACGTGAGGCTCAAATGTTTCCATTCTATTTTTGGATTGCTCTCCTAAAGACTTTCTTATCCTGTGGCCAATTCTTTGCTTTTATCCCCTGGGAAAGTATTTGCTTGGCAAAATTTGGCATGGACGCGCAGGGGAATCTTGGTGGGGTTCATTTTGCCCTTGTGCTCCCACCCGCTTGTGAGTGGGTTGGCTCACAGCTTGTGGTGTGCTCGAGGGAGTCCGTTCAGCTCACTCCACAGCCACAATACGCCCAACGGTCTTGCAGTAACGAGTTACCCCCTGGTCTTGCAAAGGGTTCCTAGTTGCTTGTTTGGATGTGGTAGTTTTTGGATGGAATGAACTGTCTGGAAACAGTTGTTCTATCTGCATCCTAAATGGCAAAATTGATCAAAAAATGAAAGGTTACATGTGAAACCTCCTTTCCATCTGAAACTTTGAGTAGTGGTGGAATTCTGGGTATCTTAACATTTTAGCTTGGTTTCTACTCCAATGTTAATCATCTCATTAGTGTGACTTAATTGTGACCTGTCTACCAAACAACCATACAGCAAACTGGGCTGTATAAGCCCCACCCCCCATTGCTGATCTTTCAGCTGGGTTTATTAAAGGTGAAGTGCAATCCCTGGTTGACAACAGCAGTTTTAGGCTATAAATCCTGTTTCTCATAGAATTAAACAGCAGAAGTATTGTTTTGCTTAAGTGGCAGCGCTATACCAGCAAAATCCATGGGTTGTTGCTGTAAAACGCATCATGCTGGTGATTTTGGTGGTAGATCTGTGTGTGCGTAATGATTTACTGCTGCAAGGAATTCAATCATTCTTCTGAGTAGCATACTATGGCATTCTTAAAGTAGAAAGTTCAATTTCTTGATGATAGTAGATGCTTTTTTATCCCTATCTTGAAGATCCAGTTCATAGAATCACAGAATGGTTTGGGTGGGAAGGGACCTTAAAGCCCATCCATACCCACCCCCCTGCCATGGGCAGGGACCCCTTGCACTAGACCAGGTTGCTCCAAGCCTCATCCAGCCTGGCCTTGAACACTTCCAGGGATGGGGCATCCACAGCTTCTCTGGGCAACCTGTCCCAGTGCCTCACCACCCTCTCTGGGAAGAACTTCTTCCTGATATCCAATCTAAATCTCCCCACTTTCAATTTAAACCCGTTACCCCTTGTCCTGTCACTACAGACCCTTGTAAAAAGTCCCCCCCAGCTTCCTTGTAGCCCCTTCAGGTACTGGAAGGCTGTTGTATGTTTCTTAAAATATTAGGATACACTATCCAGTGTCAATTCTAAAAGATATCATCCTGTTCAAAGCTGAAATATTACTAACTTTTTCCTTGAATTAAATAAAAATGCGCTGAAGAAAAATGTGATAGTGTCAGGCATATGCGGTTTTTATAGAGAAGTGACAGTATTAATACTCCTTTGATGAAAGCACATTTTTATTCTTGAGTTCTATCATATTTGGTGCAGGATGAAGAATAATAATCATTTAAGGGACTTTTTTTTAAAAGGAAGTTTAACAAATCAAATTGTACTTCAGTATGTCAGCTTATAGAACAGAAATATTGAAGTGGTTGGAAAAAGTCAAGATGTAACCCTCTTTTCAATTCTTTTTTGCTTGGAAGGCAATCCCCAGGGAGAACTTTAAATAACCGTAATGAGAGTATCTGGGAAGTTTTTATAAATCATGAGGGGTTTTCCAGTATTAAGGCTGTAGCAGCAAAGTGAGTATTGACAAAATGAAAAATTGAGTCTATTTGTGTTCTTTTTCTGGGGGTAGGTAACCCAAACGCACCATTTTTGTGACATTCTTGTTGAACATGCCTCTGTCTTGTGGATCGCTTAGGTAACGTGATTTTCTAGGAAAGAGGAAGCAAAGGCAGCATAGACGGCTGCACATCAGGGAAGATCGCACGTCGAGCAGAGCCAGGTTGGGCGCGTCGCGGTGTGGGGTAACCGGAGACGGTGCTGCCCCCGGGGTCTCGCCACCTTTCGCTATGGGACGATGATGGTTTCACCCGGAACCAAGTCTGCGTGTCTTGGTTTCATTTACACGTTGCCAAGCCGTAACTCAACAATCCATGTGCAAAATGGTTCCGTTCCCATGTTCCCTGTGCTTATCCTGGTTTTAAGAGGAGCCTCTGCTCTGCTGTATTTTGCTTTTGGTGCTACACGGCCGTGTTGTAGAACAGTTTCAGCCCTCTAGCCTCGCTGCCGTAGAGAGGCGATACCGCACGTGGCTCCAGACTGCTTGAAAAACATGCATTGTCTGTAGCTACTGTCACGGTTTTTTGTTACTCCGTTATTTATTTAAACATATACAAACAACAGCTAAGGAAGCAAACTGCGAGCTCAAGTTTTTGTAAGTATTTTTAGATGAAAGCCATCCAGAAACCTAACACACCCCGTATAGCAGAGATTTCACAAACAATCCCATTACAAACTTTCCATTTAGTCTTTTCAGTATGTGCAAAGCGTTTTGAGAAGGATTGGGGGGTGGGGCTGTTTTGCTTTGTGTCAACAAAGGCTCACCTTGCCCAAATTTCCATGCTGTTTCGTAGGAATGGCAAAAGGCATGTTTTTTATGTAAACACTGCCCTCAAACAAACCTGGAGTTCACCTTAACGCACAGTCAGTCGTGTTTGGACTACATGGCTGAGATCCTTGCTGCTCTCCAAAGCTGCCGGACTGCAGAGAAGCCTTCCTGTGCTGTAAAAGCTTGCCAAATGTTGAAAAAGGAAACGTTTTCACTATTGGATGCTACTGCCTGCTGGTCTTGCTTACGCTAAACGAGGTGGTGCGAGTCGAACAAAATGGGCACAATGATAACTTTGTCTTTTGGAATAACGAAGTGCATATTATCCCGTAGTGCTGCTGGAGGTGAAATCTTTGACCAGTGTGTGGCTGAGAGAGAGGAAGCCTTCAAAGAAAAAGATGTTAAACGACTTATGAAGCAGATCTTAGAAGGAGTTTCCTTCTTGCACAGAAACAACGTGGTTCATCTCGACTTAAAGGTAAGATTGTTGCTGTGTTTTTCTCATAAGTTTCTTATTTTTTTATCTAGTTATCCCTTGAATGATAAAATTCAACCGTTGAGATGCAGCAGGCACCAGGGTTGCAGGCCTTTTGGGGAGTTTCTGTGGTTGCAGCAAATGCAAACTTCCTGTGATTAAGAGAAAGTCGTGGTCGAAGGCGTTGCACCTTGAATTTTGAGCAAGTGCTTTGGGTAGGATCTGGCTCACTTTCAAAGTGCAGTAAAAACGGCCGTTAAAACATAGGTTGGCTTTTGATTGGCTTGAGTTTTAACGGAGCAGAGATGCTGAAAGTAACACTTCAGGATGAAGTGCACATACAGGACTGGTAAACAGTAAATATTAAAACATAGGTTGGCTTTTGTATTGGCTTGAGTTTTAACAGAGCAGAGATGCTGGAAGTAACACTTCAGGATGAAGTGTACATACAGGACTGGTAAACAGTAAATTGATCATAGAATCACAGAATGGTTTGGGTTGGAAGGGATCTTAAAGACCATCCAGTTCCAACCCCCCTGCCATGGGCAGGGACACCTTCCACTAGACCAGGTTGCGGTTGGTGTGTTTAATATATTTATAACACGTCAGTATTTTTTTTTTTTTAAATACTGTAAAACAATTTAAATGCTTGTCATTTACTGCTAAATAGTTAGCCACCACCCTATTGGTATATCCATTATCATTATTTGCTGGAGTAAGCATATTTTCTTACTGAAAAATAGTTTTGACCCAAATCAAGAGTTGCCATCATATGAAATTCTATTTAATTCTGTGAGAAATAGGATTTCAATCCTAAATAGGAGTATTGCTTATGGTTAGGAAAGGAGTTGCAACAGGGATCCAGAAAACTATTATCTGCTTTTAACTTAATCTGCAATTAACTTTCTTTTTAGCTTCCATCCTTACACTCATATGGAAGATGCAATTTTATCTCATGTTTGGGTTGACCTACTTCACTTTTTATACTGCTTTGCTTAGTATCTTGCATTAAAATTCCCATATTTACCAAGTATGTAGTAAGCTGCGACGTTTCTTCTGTTGCTGAGAGCTTTACAAGGACAAGGGGTAACGGGTTTAAATTGAAAGCAGGGACGTTTAGATTGGATATCAGGAAGAAGTTCTTCCCCGAGAGGGTGGTGAGGCACTGGGACAGGTTGCCCAGAGAAGCTGTGGATGCCCCATCCCTGGAAGTGCCCAAGGCCAGGCTGGATGAGGCTTGGAGCAACCTGGTCTAGTGGAAGGGGTCCCTGCCCGTGACAGGGGGGTTGGAACTGGATGATCTTTAAGGTCCCTTCCAACCCAAACCAGTCTGTGATTCTATGATTCTACTTCCACTTAATTGCATTTTGGCAGTAGTACAGAGCTACCAGTAGATTCCAGGAGGAAGCTGTACATACTGAATATTTTAGCGTAGCACATCATGCACCATTCATCAGCTTAAGCACATAAGTAATATTTGCACACAAATATCTCACCTGCCTGATTTTCCAGCCATTCATTCAAATTATCTCTGGAATCCTTTAAAGCTTTCTGCAGCCCATTGAGTTAGTCATACATCTAGAATATGAATAATTGTAGTAAAATAATTAATGGAAAATTTTTAGCAGGTGATGTGAGAGTAAGGAGTTTAGAAGGACTGAAAATGAACAGTTAGAATTCCTTAAAGTTCCAGTATGCTTACACAAGATGCTCAGTGTCTCTGCCATGGTTGGCCAAAAATATTTCTGTTGAATTTCCTTGAAGCAAAGCGCGTAAAATTAAAACACGTCTCTCTGTGGACAGAATATGTTCATAATGGTTATACTCAAAGCTGTGGTGTTCCCGAGCACTCTCAGCTGGGTATTTGTAATCAGAAATGTGTGCGTGTGCTTTATTTGATGGTACTTAATGGCAAATGTGGACCGGGGTGTTGGTTACAGCTTGGGCGCAGGTAGCAAGTTCGACTTTAAAACTTTTTCCAACCACTCAGAAAATCTATTTTATAAAATTGATCATCTCCAGTTCTCAATGAAAGATCCACCATTTCTTTGCTGGCTTTTAAAACTTGATTAGCAGAGGAAAATGTCTAGTGTTTGAGTTTAACGTGTTTTAGTATGATTTTTGAAATGTGGAACTTAACAGTTGAGCCCTAATTGCAGGGTGATTGCTCGCAGGATATATTGATCATTTGCAAAATAAGGCTTAGGGAAGTCTTCAGAATATTGGCAAATCAAGATGATGGAAACTGTAGGATTAAAACCCATGACTTCTGAAGATTGGGTGACCCACATGCCTTGCAAGACTTTAAAAAAAGGCCTGTTCCTCAAAAAGTGAAGTTGGGTTCTGGCTTTAGCTGCATGTTTATTAACCTGCTGGCCACAAACCATCTTCTGTTGCGTAGTGTGGCTCGTGCTGCTCTGCTGAGTGCTTACAGCACTGTGGAATTCACTGAATACTCAGTTTTGTGGGGCAGCGTTTGGAAGACTTGTGCAAAGCGTGCTGCTGGTAAGCAGGGTGTTGGCCAATATCTAAAAGATTACAAATACTTGTGAAAATGTTTTCCTCATGCTGTTGGTTTCACATTTGGGTGTCTGAAGGTTTTGTAGAATCACAGAATGGTTTGGGTTGGAAGGGACCTTAAAGCCCATCCAGTTCCACCCCCCGGCCATGGGCAGGGACACCTTCCACTAGACCAGGTTGCTCCAAGCCTCATCCAGCCTGGCCTTGAAGAAATCCAGGGATGGGGCATCCACAGCTTCTCTGGGCAACCTGTCCCAGTGCCTCACCATCCTCTCCAGGAAGAACTTTGTCTGGGACAAATGCCTTTGGAAAGGTCCATCCAATTTTCCTATGTCGCACCTTCAAAGTCAGGCTCTGTGCCCAGAAGAATTCAAGTCACGATGGTTGTCAGGACGTGACTGTCGGCTGCCTGTAGTTTTGTTTTATAAATCTAATCAGCCAGGTCTGTGACACTGACAGCTAGCTGTCCGCCCCCTTAACAGGTGAAATATTTTTCCTATGAGACTAAACACTGCAGAAAAACACGGGGTGTTTTGATGTGGCTTCAGCAGAGCTGCTAGCTGATCATTCCTTTCCAAAAGCATGGATCTCCTGAAAGACGGCTGAAAAAACAGCTCGTTTTGAATAGCAAAATCCAGTCGTGTCATCCAGTTTAGACTTGGAGAAGGAGCAAGTATAATGCTACTGAGTGCAAATTAAGGCTCACTCGACAGTATTGCGTTGATGCTATTTAATTTGCAGGGTGTGCATAGATTATAGTCAGGAGCCTTTCATCTCCTCGTCATGGCGCATAAAAGCTGCAGCGTAAGGGAAGACTCCTTTCCCTGCATGCTGGCTGCTTGGCTGGATCTTCAACGCGTGTTTGGTAAAAGCTGGAACTAGTCGGCAGTGGTAGAGAGTTTAAAAAGGCGTGGGGGTTGAGGAAAGACCAGCTGCCTCTTGCATGGGGTGGACATGGGTAAGGAGCTTTACGCAGCCCTGGGGTCTGGGCGAAGGGCTGCTCCAAGCAGCATTCCTACAGTATATAGTGTTCTGGTTATCTAACTGACACCTTTTCCCTTCCATCTGTATTGTGTTCAAAACGTTGTATACAGTGGGGACAACCCGCAAAACCAGCGTTTGAAATTGTTTGGCATGTCATTTTAACCCAATATTGAATCATAGAATCACAGAATGGTTTGGGTTGGAAGGGACCTTAAAAATCATCTAGTTCCAACCCCCCTGCCATGGGCAGGGACACCTTCCACTAGACCAGGTTGCTCCAAGCCTCATCCAGCCTGGCCTTGGACACTTCCAGGGAGGGGGCATCCACAGCTTCTCTGGGCAGCCTGTTCCAGTGCCTCCCCACCCTCTCCGGGAAGAACTTCTTCCTGACATCTAATCTAAACCTCCCTGACTTCAATTTATCCCCGTTACCCCTTGTCCTGTCGCTACAGGCTCTTGTAAAAAGTCCTCTCCCAGCCTTGTAGGCCCTTCAGATACTGGAAAGCTGCATTGAATCATAGAATCATAGAATGGTTCATGAGGTCTCCTCAGAGCCTTCTCCTCTCCAGGCTGAACAAGCCCAATTCTCGCAGCCTTTCGTCATAGCAGAGGTGCTCCAGCCCTCTGATCATCTTCGTGGCCTCCTCTGGACTCGCTCCAAGTGGTCAGTATCCTTCTGATATTGAGGGCTCCACAGCTGGAGAATGGTTTGGGTGGGAAGGGACCTTAAAGACCATCCAGTTCCAACCCCCCTGCCGTGGGCAGGGACACCTTCCACTAGACCAGGTTGCTCCAAGCCTCATCCAGCCTGGCCTTGGACACTTCCAGGGATGGGGCATCCACAGCTTCTCTGGGCAACCTGTCCCAGTGCCTCCCCACCCTCTCCGGGAAGAATTTCTTCCTGATATCTAATCTAAATCTCCCCGCATTCTGTTTAAACCCATAAAAGAGAAAGCAAACTAACACACGATTACAGCAAAAGTGGCCTGTTACAAGAACATTACAGATTTATTTTCTCAGCTGAGTTTTCCAGGTGGATTAAGGTGCAGTGTGTATTACACAGAAATGTAGTATTAATAGAAGAGTGGTGTTCCTTCTCTAAAGAAACACCCAGGAAATAGAGAAAAGAGTTATAAATTAAAATACCAGTTTTTCAAGGCAAAAGAACAGTTTAGTCTGGAGTCCAAACCTTTATAGCAATTAGAGCAAAGCTGTTCATTAACAGGTAGGTATAGAGTCTCCAAGTTCTACAGAAACTATTTTGCTTATTAGCTTTATTTCTTAGAGACTTGCATTGCTTGTTTGGGGGAATAAAGTACACATACTGCACTGGTATCATGCTCTTTCAGTGACTGCTGCATTTCTCAATTTCTTAAAGATATGGGACAGCAGAATTTGCTTGGGAGTTGGGCTGCTTTGATCCACATAGGGAAAAAATGCAGCAGTCACTGCAAGAGCACACATATTGGACTGAGCAGCCTGCTTTATTGTCTTTACACACAGTGTGGCTGGGCTATCCCAGCTAGCCTGCTTTTTTTTTTTTTTTTCCTGGTTTTGCCCTTGGATAACTCCTGTCTTGTCTTCTAGGGATCTGATTTTTTTTTTTTATTACTGTATCATAAAGTTGGATTCTTAACTGAATTAATGTTGCAGGTTAAGGTGAGGCATGGGTTAGCCAAAAAACATTACCTCTGTTATGTGTCCTTAGTCGTACCCTTCTTGAAACCGAATCATAGAATGGTTTGGGTTGGAAGGGACCTTAAAGATCATCTAGAAAAAAAAAAAAAAACGTTAGGGCCAAAGGTTCACAAAACCTTGTGGGGTGATGGGAAATGAGCTGTGGTGTACTTGTGTCCAGCTGAAGGCTGTGGTTAAGGCCAGAGCGACGGCTTCTCTCCGGCTTCATGCCTGTGTTCAGACTCGCTTCATGTGAACCCCACGGTGACTCCCTAAAGCGAACGACCGATACTTCGTGATGAATTGGTGGAGGTTTGTGACTCAGTCCGCACTGCAGGCAGGGTTTTTCTGCACAGGTGGGTTTTAAGTAATACCATTGTCTTGTAAAAGAAGAAAATAATAAAGACTCCTGGCAACTACAAGATCTACTAAAATACTGTAATTTGGGGACTGGAGTTTCACAGTGTTTCCATTAAAAACTCTTTAAATACAGAGAACAAATGTTATTCTCCTGCTTTGTATTTGCTCCTTCAGAAAGTAACTAAATTTCCCACTGGGAAGAACATCTGAGAGGCTAATTAGGGAGGCACCGTCAGCATTTTTGGCTGTTTGCTTTTCTAATACAACTCCAGAATGACAAATGTGAACGCTGAAGCATATGGTAATGCACAGCTCCAAAAGCCTTTGTAGGGCCACCAAATCCCAGTTTGTAAGAAAAAACGGGGGAAAAAAAAAGCTGCTCTTAACACACAGATTTAGAGAGGGAAAACAGATGGACAGCGTCACGGCGTTGGTTTGAAATACCGCGGTTTAACTGCAGGAATGACCGGACTTGACCGTGTTCAGACCTCGCAGCAAGAACTGCCGCAAGGTTTTTGGCGTCTTCTCGCACAGGTTTGTTTCTGTGCTCGGAGGGAGGCTGTTCACCTGGAATCACGGCTTCCTGGGTGACGTGGGGGTGAGGAGAGAACGGCTCGGTGCTTAGGGAAAACGTGTACGCGTCGATGCCGGTCCAGTTGGGATTATCCGTCAGCGGTTGTTTCCATGTTGCTACTCTTTGGCTGCCCTCCCTTTTCAACCGCCCCCGATGGAACGTGATCTCGGCAAATAAAGGCTTCTTCACTTTGGAGCTGGTGCTGGCCGGGGGCACGAATGCCGTGTCGCTGTCACCATTCAGAGTTAGCGTTAGGACCCGAGGTGACCGTTGGCCTGGGGGCAGGGAGGGCCACACCTGGGTTTGGGGCAAGGGTATGCTTCACTTACAAAAATCTCTCGTTAAGACCTGTTGCCTAAAGTTAGTTTTCAGACTATTTTGCTAGCTGAGCTCGCAGTCAGAGTAGACAGAAAGGAACTTCGTGACCACAAAGTTGCTTTGAAGGGCGACAGCCCAGATCTAGTGACGTCAGAGCAAACGAGTTTATCCGAAGGTGATGCTCTTAAAAACCTGTTTTTCAGGTTGCTGTATTTTTTTTTTTAAACTGTTCTTCAGTTAGTGTTCTGTAATAGAATTGTTTGTACTTTGAAGGAGGTCGAGGTCAGTTGCAACAGACTTTCTTTTAAACGGGTGCAGTCAAAATAGGTTTATGTGTTCGGGTCTTCTCAATTGATTGGGTGTTTTTGGACACCCTTAACAGGAGGTGTTTTACACCATCTTTTGGAAGGAGGCAAGGGGACTTAAAAAGGTGGTGTGAAGGACTAAAGGTACAAATGTGGAGGCATTTACATCGTCTGTGTGTATGTTCTAAGGTAATAAAGGTCGGGGTTTGAGTCTCAGTTATAAACGGAAAACCCTGCCACCCCTTTTAACCTACTTGTCTCTTCAAGTTCACTGGGGAGAACTTTATTTATAAATTAATCTATTCATAAATAGGTAAGTGATCCTGGGGGTCGTACTTGTTACGGAATGCGCTGTCGCTACTCGTCATCTAAACCAATTATGCGATATGGTGTCGTAGGCATTAGAGAAGGGTGATCCTGAAAGTCTCTTCCTTTTGTTTTTCAGCCCCAAAATATTCTGCTAACCAGTAAGTCTCCTCTGGGAGACATTAAGATTGTAGATTTTGGCCTTTCCAGAATAATGAAGAGCAGTGAGGAACTGAGAGAAATTATGGGAACTCCAGAATACGTCGGTAAGTTGTTACTACACGAGTGATGTAGCCCTGAGGAGGGGACTTTTGGGGAGCACAAGGAGAAGCTGCCTCAGTTTGTTTGAACGCCAGGCTGGCTGTGTAATTACTGCGTTGAAAGACCAGGTTATTCCTTGGATGTGGTACTGCTGCAAAAGCTGGAATTGGCAAGCGGTGCCAGTCTCACGGGTGAGACTCGCTGTGTGCTTGTGCTGGAGATGGGTGCGCACTTCAGACGAGCCTTACCAGCACTGGTAGCGAGCGTTCCTGGGATTAGAAGTTCAGGATTGCATACTCAGTCTCCAAATCTATTTTAGCTTGTGGACGTTTGTATCCATTTCAATTTTTTTAGAGGCAAATCATTCCAGGCATTGAAAAAGTACTCGTAAGTGTTGTTAAGTTGTACAGTATATCTTTATGGGTGTGGGTTTCAGTGCTGGAGCATGGAATGTTGGATACTTCTCATTTTTTTTTCCCATAAGAAATTTGTATACAGCTTCCTTAACTGGGAAGGAGACTGGCCTGGTTTCTTGAAGAGGACAGTAAAAGGAAAACGACCTATTTTACTTAAAACCGATGAACGTTAGTAATCACGTAAACACCTTGAATGGTTCTATCTCTGTTTCGAAAGACTCGTGCTTCAAGTGGCTTGTATTAAGCTTCACCACATACCCGCTATTGCACTGTATAACTAGCCTAGAATGTCTGCATTTGACAAAAAAAACCCTTGTGGTTGTGTGGTTTTTTTTCCCCTGAACAGCTCCTGAAATTCTGAGTTACGACCCCATCAGTACAGCAACTGATATGTGGTAAGTTGAACAAATTCTAGTGGTGGTCATAACTTTAGTAAAAAGTTGGGTTTTCTTTTAAAAAAAACCCAGCCCTGAAAAACCTGCTTTTCCCTTTTTTACCCTCAGGAGCATTGGAGTACTGGCCTATGTTATGCTAACAGGGACATCGCCTTTCCTAGGGGATGATAAACAAGAAACGTTCTTAAATATCTCTCAGATGAACGTAAGTTACTCTGGAGAAGACTTTGACCTCATCTCAGAGTCTGCTGTGGATTTCATCAAAACTCTGCTGGTTAAGAAACCCGAGTAAGTGAAACGCACAGCTGCGTGCGCTGACGCGTCCGACTGGATTCCTTCTGAATGTACAGGCACTGGCATCTTCTTTTCTGAAGTATAAGGGAACTTCGGTGACTCGTATGTCCCTGTGCTATGACTTCATGTATATGAAAGGAGAAGTCCTCCACTTCCCTCAAACTTGCATTTTGGGAACGTGTCCAAGTGCTGGTAACCGAAACCCCAATTCGCTTCAAAAAAAGGTGTCTGGGCTGTGGGATGCTGCACCACATCCTGACTTGCTTTACAGGTACCTTGCTGCTGGCCTAAATGAACGGTGCTTTGAGCCGTGGGCTCTTGGTGAGCTGGCAGAGTACCTTACACGTCCCTGGTTTCTTGGTACGCTTTGCTCAGGGGGCAGCAAACGGAAGTGCCAGCTCTCGAAACAGAAACGGTGAGAGTTGGTTGGAAACGGGGGAGCGTGAGCTGGGATGTTTAAGGATCTGTGAACACGTTTGTTTTAAATGTGAGCCGTTCGTCTCCTTGCCCTGCTGTCGGTCATCTTTTTGGCAAAGTACCCTTTTTTAAGAAGTTCTGTCTTTAATACAGTCATATCCTCGGAATAATTTGCATGGGTCTGTTCTGCAAGGTGTACTGCATTTCATATTAACTTGGACATTTATGGTAACACTTCCCTTCCTCCGCAGGGACCGGGCAACTGCTGAAGAATGCCTTCAACATCCATGGTTAGAACAAAGCCATAATCCTGCTTCCAGGTCCTGGAATAAGACTGCAGGCGGGGAGACCAGTGATGTCACCCAGAAAGATGTGGATTCTGCCTCTGAAAAACCGGTAGATGCTGAGAAGACTGAAGAGGACGAATCAATAGTGACAGAAGAACTAATTGTAGTGGCTTCATATACGCTGGGACAATGTAGGCAGTCAGAAAAAGAAAAAGTAACTGAGCAGAAAGCCATTTCCAAACGATTTAAGTTTGAGGAACCACTGCTGCAAGAAATACCGGGAGAATTCATTTACTGAACTGTGTGGAGCTTCGTAGCTCTAACTGGAAGGCAGTGTTTTCTACTAAACAAAAATACCCTAGCCGAGCCAATTTCTGATATGCAGTACGTGTTCTAGATAAACGAAGATGTTGATAAATGGCATCCAAGGCAAATGTGCCAAGTTTTGAATTTCACGGAACAGATAAATAAGATTTCAAGTGACTGGCAGGAGTTTAACAAAGATAAAAGCTTGGTTTTGTTTGTAACTTTTATTTCTGGCTTTTTGTCGCTTGATAGCAGAGTTTTTGTTAATTGTTCCAGTTGACACTGGAAGTGTTTCAGTGGCTTGAGTGACAGATGTCAAGAGGTGTATGTTATGTTTTGGCATTTAATGCAAATATATAATGCTGGGTTTTCCTCAAACACGTTTTAGCACTTCTGACTCCAGCAGAACTATCTGCTGACCTAAAAATTGTACGAGAGCGAACTGGGCCGCCTGGTTCGAGATGCAGATTTCACAGCTATACGGTGGGGATACCTCGGGGTTTACATCAGCTCAGAGACCCCGTGGGGCTCGCCTGGCACACGGCCGAGATGAGCTGTGCTGCTCTTGCTCGAGCTGCGTGTGTCCCACAGGCCAACAATTCCAGATCACAGTGGTGATCTGGGAGCAAAGTCAAATCCTGCCCCAGAGGGGGTGATGAGTTTGCTCAAGTCAGTCTCCTCTGCGAGCCAGCAGAGATCACCCCCTTCCCCTCCTGCGCGGGGCGAGATGTGCCAGTAGCATCCCGCTTGGCGTGACCGCACGGAGCTGCGGAGTGGGGAAGGAAATGAGGGAGGGTTGGCTGTCGCTCTGTTTTAGATCTCCGCTGACCTCACTGTGCCAGATCAGTTTGTCCAGCTAATGATACATCAGCCCTCGACTCTACACCCCCCCAGAACCCAGCTGGGCTTTTACTGGGAGCATGAGGTCATTGCTGCCTTCTTTCTGTTCCTCTAACTGCTGCTTTAAGGAAGAAAGAGGCATCCTTAGGCTAAATTGCATAACCTTGTTCGGTACAGCCTTCGGACGAGGAAGGAGACACTGCTCCCTCTGAAACAACGAAGCACAGCTCCTCCCTCCTGCTTCCCAATCACTCTCCCATAGAGCCTGGGGAAAACAGCACGTGTAGGATGGGGCAGAGCGGGATTAGGAAGCTGTGTGGGTGGGTCACAGTTCTCAACGGACACGGTCCCTCAGAGGACAAAGCTGGGACCAACTGGGCACCAAAACTGACCGGTTTTCACAATGTACAGGTCTGAGGATCTTGGACCGAGTCCTAGTTTTCTAAGAAATCTTTCATACTGATGCTGTTCCAAGGTTTAACTTTTATGTCATTGAAGTTTAGTGCTATTATATTGCATACTGTTAACTATTCAACTATTTATTTGGTTTCTTTATGCTGTTCCTTTATAATAAACCCTGACAAAAGTTTTCTTGCTATAAAACGCTGAATGGAGACTCTTCGGCTAGTTTTCCTTTTCCTCCACGTTGCTACAGACTGATTTCAGACGTACCGAGAACGTTCCTGCCCCCCTGAGCGAGCAGGAGCTCGGTGCTGGCGTTACCCACGCTGACGCTCCTTCACGCCAACGTCAGAATTGGTTTTTCACCGCCGTTCGTAACTCCCGGGGTGATGTGAGCAGCGGTGCTTTGAGGGCGGGAGAGAGAAGCGCTAGTAAAGGAGAAAACTGAGAAGCAGCTGCCCGGCGCTGAGAGGGGCCACGAGCGTTTTCCCGTGAGGCTTCGCTGCCTGGTTGCCTTCGCTTGAAGCCACGTCAGAAGAACTGCACCCAGGTTAAACCGCCCTACCGGCCTGCTTCCCGAATGGAATCGCGTACGGAACGGCGAGGGAGGCAGGGCAGCTTCTCACTCCTTGGAGACCTGAGAGCATCCAACCATACCTGAATAACTGGGTTGGGATGGGGGTTCCGTGGTAATGCAGAGACACCGTTCGCCCCCTGGAGAAATGAGTCCTCTGCTGGTTTTCCCCTCCCGTAGATGGCAACCGACGGGCTCCCGCTGGGAAGCTACCGTGGAAGATGTTCTGGGATGGCTCCGGCTATCCAAGCCATTGGACAGCCGTCGCTCAAAGGAGGATCCGTCAGCCCACGGCGGAGCTGTGTTGTCTGGGCGTCTCTGGAGGTGGACGGTAGCTGGGCGTCTGCTGACCCTCCCTGCAGCGCTGATCTGTGCCCGACGGTTTTAAGCACGACAGTTCCCTTCACGGGCATCCCACTGCTCAGCCGTTGGCCCAAGACGGTTTCCCTGGGGGAGGGACTTTAATCTTGCAGAAATGTGTTTTGTAAGTTAACGTTTCTCCCAGCTTCCATTGCCGTTTGGACTTTTTCTTTTCTCCCACATCCACAGTTCCTTGCTTTTACAAAGCTGAGGAAAGCACCGAGGTTGAAGCATGTTCCCCTCCCACCCCTACAAAACATTCCTGTCGCCGTCCCTGCGTACCTAAATGCCTCACGGCTCGTGCTTGCTCAAAGCAAGTCACTTGGGGGACCTAGAAGCTGTCCCGGTGCCTGTTTCTAGCCACAGAGTGTGTCTCAGGTGGGGCTGGGCCCTAAAGGAGACGGGCAGAGGCTGAGCAGCGTAGGTCTTGTCCTGTATTTACTGGGTTGGATGTACGACAGCGACGCTTAACGTGGATACATGAACTACGTGCTTACTACGAGGCCAACTTCTCTTGAACTGGCTGCTTTGGGACTTCAAGTGGGCTGCGTTTCTGTTTAAAACTTGTGCCTTCAGGCGCTTTTGTACGGCGTTTGTTTTTTCTAACGTCATGACGACTTTGCGTGAAGTTGTGAAAGTTTGAACGGCGTTAAGTTACAACCACGGCGTCGTCGCTTGGGCCTGCAGTAGGAAACGTTTAACTGTGGAAGTTAAACTTCCAGCACTTCCCCACGTGCTGGAAGCTATTTCTGTCCCACTGAGAGGGTGGGTAAAGCTGTAAGGGAGGGATTCTCGCCCGAGAGAGAGGGGCTGTCGAGGTTACTGTGTTGGAGAGGCGGAGTTACTGGTGATGTACCACGTTAAGTTACTGGTGACGTACCGCGTTAAGCCTGGAGACAACTCCCTGGCC